ATATATATATATATATATATACAGTCAACCTTTATTTATACAGGTTAGTCTCTCTGAGCCTCGAGGACTCATTTACAAGCGAGACCTGTTTTAAACAAAGAACACAGATGATGCACAGACAACAATAGACAATCATATAAAAGCATATAAATATGAAAAGTAAATAAAATAAGTGATATAAAACTGAAACAAATACAGCTACATTATGAAGCGATGTATAGTACTAAAAACAGGAGCATGTCTGCAATGGTTTTTGAAATGAACTTAACAGTTGTTTAAAATTCCTTAAGTTGACAACTTCAGATCCTTTTGCAAGGTGTTCAGAATCCAGAGGCCAACAAACCGGCCTCCCTCCACCACCTGGCTGCACAAAAAAGTTCTGTCCATGAAAGTTATGAACAGAATCAGTGACAACGGGCAGCGGAGTCCAACTCCCACCCTGAAGGATTCTGAAATACTGCTAACAATGCAAACCAAACTCTCGCATCACTTATATAGGGACTGAACAGCCTGTAGCAACAGGCCTCTGTACTCATGAAGCACCACCCACAGTGTACTCTGAGGAATAGTTGAAAACCTTCTCCAAGTCCAAGAAACACATATAGACTGGATGGGCAAACTCCCATGACCCCTCAAGGACCCTAGTGAGGATAAAGAGCTGGTCCAGTGTTCCACGGCCAGGACGGAACTTGCATTGTTCCTTCTGGATCTGAGGTTCGACCAACGATCGGACTTGCTTCTCCAGTACCCCTGAATAGACCTTACCAGAGAGGCTAATGAGAGTGATGCCTCTGGAGCACACCCTCCAGCCTCCCTTTTTGTAGAGGGGAACCACCACCCCAGTCTGCCAATCCAGTGGCACTGCCCTCGACGTCCACGTGATGTTGCAAAGACGTGTCAACCAAGACAGCCCCACAACATCCAGAGCCTTAAGGAAATCAGGGCGGCTCTTGTCTACCCCTGGAGCCCTGCCACCGCGGAGCTTTTTAACTAGCTCAGCGACCTCAGCCAGTTATGGACAGACCAACCCTGAAGTCCCCTGACTCAGCTTCCTCCATGGAACATGTTCCGGTGGGATTGAGAAGGTCTGAGAAGTTTTCTTACCACCTCCCGATGACATCACTGGTGGAGGTCACCTTCACTGAACAGTGTTGGTAAAGTGCTGAATAATAATAATAATAATAATAATAATAATAATAATAATAATAATAATAATAATAATAATAATAATAATAATAATTGTTATTATTATCAAGGAAGAAGCAGGTAAAAAATGGATTGAGTATTTTTAAAATAAAATTCCAGAGTGGCACAAATGGGGTTCCATACTGGTTCACGGAGAATTAAAAATAATAATAATAAATCGTGTATTTTTGAAGAGCTTTAATGCGCAGCATGCAAGGGACTCATGTTAGTCTTTTTACTTTATGTCCAGACAAACTAAAAGTTTGACTACAACGCGCGGACCTGACGCAGCGGTCCTTGGATCAGACTGGGCACATGAAGCGCGTATGCGCATCCAACAACGCAATTTCAAAGAATGACCAACAGAATTCATTCTAGTGACTTCATATCGAGACAACAGGAGGTGGGAGGAACATGCAGGATCAAACGTCCCTCCCATCTTCATCATCCTCAGCAGCAGCAGTGCTCTGACTGTGTGTGTGTGCGCGTGTGTGTGTGTACAGTCAGATCTTTGAGCCATGCGCCTCCCTGGTCCACTTTAGTTCAGTGTTTTGGAGCCTGACCTGGTTTCGGTGGACGGCTGAGAGAAGCATGAGAACTGGGACCCAGCAGCTCACAGGACGATCGAGCTGAACCCCTCAGGGTGAGACAGTTATTTTATTTTTTCTCTTTTAGGAAAGCTTTATTAATAAGTTTCATTTATAAGTTATATTTCATGATAGTTTATTTGATTATTTTTCTTATTTTTGGTATTTGTCTCCAAAGCATCACCATGTTTATTACAGAGACATTTGTCTCCTCAGCAGCAGCAGCTCTCAGTCACTTCACTTTTAATTAGCTGGATTTCAGACACAACTCATTAGGCTTCACCCTTGATCCTGTTTCCAGTGGCGACTTGTCTGCTGTGGCTCTTTTTATTTGTGAAAGTTGTAAAGAAGGAGACGAACATCTTATTGCAGTTTGGAATATTTTTCTAGCAGAGGGACAAAACTAACAAGAGTTGAATGTGTCTGATTTCTTGACATGTGCCAGATGGGATTCTTCAGATTTGATGGAGTCTCCATGTAACAAGAAAAGCTGTGGAATATGTGATCTGAAATTATAAATATGTAAGCGTGTACCCCCCAATGGTTCTCTCTCATGAACCCTTTCCTCTTTAAAGTGAGTGACTCTCCATCTGGAGAAGATTCTGTTGTAGACCAGGAAGGCAGAGGTTCCAGGACAGAGACACTCTTGTGTTTTCTAATTGATGGGACTCAGTCTAAATTAGCCTCCATATGCTTTCACTGGAGCAAATCTGCAGCCTGTCATGGCTCCGCTCTGCAGAAGTCTCGAGGCTTCACGCACTGACAACTGTTTGTTTTTATTCATTTGAAAATGTTCAGCCAAGAAAGGAAACCGATCTGTCTCCAGCAAGTCAAACCCTTTTATTTCTGACATCAGCGTGCACAAGTCCAGCAGATGATCCAGCTGTTTAACATGAGCTGGGCTTGAAGAGGTCAACCTGTAGGACGAAGGAATGTTTCAGTTTCCTTCAGGCTCTCTCCTGGAGTGGAATACAGCAATTTTTGCAAGATTTTTACAAAAACTATTAAATAAATAAACCCCAGCGTTGTCATTTAACTCAAACCTTTGTGTTGAATATTTATAAAAGCACTCAGTGAAGTCATTTTCAGCTTTTATTTTGGTAAATCAAGTAGATTTTCTGCATAGTTTCTGTCAGCTTTTGTTGAAATCCTTCATCAATTAGAAAAATAATAATTTAGAGCTAAGCTCTCCCTGAATAAACGCACATCTCCTGCTGCTTTACACAGCTTCAGACTGAATTCAAATAGAGCTGCAGTCAAACCTTGACCACATTCAGAGCAGCGTTGTGAAAACACGTCTTGCAAACGAGTGTGTTAAGAATAACTGTTGGTCATTCAGCAACCACCAGTTAAAACTTTAGCCTCAAATCTCTACATTTAGCTGAGTTGAGGCCATTTTTGTCAAAGCTAAAGTCGGCTGGTTGTGGTCGACTCCTAAACCTAATCAGGTGTTTGTTGGTGAAATATTTTGCTAACAACCAACGGTCACTCCAATAGGTAGTGTCAGATTTTTATAGCGTATGCAATCAGTTAGTGCTCAGAGCGTATGTTGGGAATGACTCTCTTCTACTACCACACCACATTTTAGCTTAGTGTCTGTGAAACTGAGTCATCGTTTTCATGTTTTTCTGTTGGTTGGGTTTATCTGTGGCAGCCATCTTGAAGCAGTAATTTATAACTAAAATAATAAATGAAATCAGTCACTAGGTACATTTTTGCTTGTTCAGGTGAAATATGTCAAATACACAGTGGTGGAGAAAGTACTCAAACACAGTACTTAAGTAAAAGTATGAATAAACAGACCAAAATGTACTCCAGTAGTGCCACTTTAATGTTTTTACTTAAGTAAAATTAAGTACTTGCTTTTAAAAACACTTAAAGTATTAAAGTAAAAGTACTTGTTGAATGTATTACCTAATGCAATGGTCTACATATCTTTGTCTGCCTACCATATGTATATTTTCTGTAATACATTTATAGTGTTGAGAATTTTACTGAACGATGCTGCAGATAATACATGTTTTTATTGTGTTTACTCTGTGACACAGTTCACACTTGGACTTGTGATTCTGTGCAGCAGAATTTCAGGGATGACCTGCAGAGTTAATACCATTAATCAAAATAAGAAAGAGGAATGATTTTACCTTTGAAAGTTTTATTTAACACAAAGTAAAACCAATGTGTCATTTTAAGTAAACACATTTAAGTAAAAGTTGTCTGACTAAAAAAATGAGCATTAGACCAAACAAAGGAACAGACTCTGATCATTTCAACTCCAGGTTGTCATCAACGCTAGTTAAAATAATGTCTAGTCAACCTTGTAATGGGTCAATAGTGAACAATGTTTTAACTTCCTGACACCATTTTCAAAATTTGGACCCGAGTGTTAAAACGTTTGGAGACATCTCTTGTCTCCTAACATCCATGAACCGACACATTTTAATGTTGCAGCAAGAATTTCTTGTTCAAGTCCAGAAGAAGTTGGTTTTCAAAGTTTTTTGAGTCCAGTCTGGCTCTTTTGGGAGAGAATCTGTCCTGCTGTACTGAACAGTCTTTCAAAAATCTTTCAATAATCTTTCAATAATCTTTCAATAATCTTTCAATAATCTTTCAATAATCTTTCAATAAGGCCATGGGTGGCACGTATCTTCTGGCTGACTCTCCGTGGTGGATTCCATTTTGTGTGTTAGTGGTGCTGTGGGTGCACCCAGTTCAATGGTGTATATACTAGAATATAGGTCATTGGTCCAGCTCTTCTTGAAGGCAGGTTTAACGTTACCTGTCCACTTTGCAGTGATTCACTGGACCAACTCCCCTCTCATCATTTGTTACTTTCAAACTAACGAACAAATAAAGAAGTCACAACGTAAATCTAACTTGTAACTCAACGCATTATAGAAATATAGTGTAGTAAAAAGTACAGATACTTAATGTAAAATGTAGTGGAGTAAAAGTCGATAGTACCCACATTTAACTTGAGTAAAGTACAAATACATGAAAAATGTACTTAAATACAGTAACAAAGTACTTGTACTTAGTTACATCCCACCACTGCAAATACACATAAACTGCACATTTTACTGCTGCGCGCGTCTTTTTGTTTCTTTTCATCACTGAATCTTTAAAGCTCCTTGTTCTGGTCTTCATTCGTGGCTCCGACTTCTTCTGGCCCGGACACAGTTCTGTGCGGCAGTGACAGGAATGTGTCACCTGTGTGTGAGTGCTGAGCTCCCGTTGACCTCCTGAAGATCCGCTGGCCTCGCTCACACATCAAGGGTTTCATCGCAGTGCGAGTTCCATTCAAGTCCAAAAGGACCCTGAAATGGTTCACATCTTTGAAGACCACATTCCTCATGTTGCGTTACCCTCAGCATTAGTAAAATAACCTACAAGCACCCTTTGCTTACAGCTTATTTATTCAAATAAACTAATGCTGTTTGCACCGATTAGCTTCCTGCTTTCCTCCAGAGCTGTCGGCAGCACGAGTTTGTCTTAGTCTCTGGACCGAACTGTTCAGAGACAAACACGACTTCTGGTTTCAGGAGGTGAATGAGCTGCCGTGGTGGTTTTTAATTCTGCTAACATCTGGGGCCCATTTTGACCATTTACATCTTTTCAAAGAGACATTTGACTGATTTTCACATCACAGTTGTGAATTTAGCTAACTTTCAGAGCAGCATTAAAAAAAAGGATGTGAGGAAAGTGTTATATATGCAGAGACGTGTAGTTGCTGTTAAAGATCAGTCTAAATGTTGATGTCAAATGTTATCGATCAGTTCCCGCTGCAGAGCGGACTGTATCGACTCGTGTGCTACAGACTCTATTAGGGATGACGGAGGAAAGTGAAAGAGCTCTTTGTGTGAAAGTCATGCCATATGAGACTGCTTGCTATGAAACTGGCTTTTGTTCAGCGAAGAAGTGGACGGGAGTTTCTGTCTCATTCATCAGGTGGACAATAGTCCACCAGGGTTTGACCTTGGAGACAAAAGTTGCTCCAAACATATCATTTTCTCCTAATGCGCCGAAACATCAGCTGTTAGTATCACCCACTAAAAGGCCGAAGTTGGAGTGCTGTTTTCTCCCACATGTTTGTCAGTGCGTATTTTGATCAAAACATCTGTAACTCTGTCAGTTCAATATAAGAATACTGTCAGGGAATTATGGTCAAGGTTTATGGAGAATGTTAACTGCCCATGAACCATGTGTTTGAGTTAGCAGAGAGTTCTCATGCATGTGCAGCCGACAGTCCAAGGACACCAGTCTGCTGCCTGTGAGCTGATGAGCGTATAAAAACAGTTCTCGCACACTGCTCGTGGCAGATTCTCCTGCTGAGCTGCATGCACGTAACTTCTGTACATCTGTGTAAGCTGTTGTGAAAGTCTGTCCTTGCAAGTAAAAGCAGTTTAAAACATTTTCCCGTCGTCGGCTTCTTTGAGTTAGTAAAATAAATAGAGGGTATTTTTGTCCAACAATGAGCTTAGTCTAATACTTATGGCATAAAATGTGGAGGGTGATCCTCAACAATGCTGAGCCTTTATTTCTATAAAGTAATAGCAAAGAAACATCTGTACTGTTAATGTTAAATATACATACAACGTACTTCTTTAACTTTAAGGTTCAAGGTTCTTTATTATCACTCGCATCACATGTGGTACATGAGGTGGAATGAAATTGTGTACTCAAGGTCCCAGTTACATCCAACGACAGCAAAAATATAAATTGTAAAAGAAACAGTTTACAAGGATCTAAAATATAAACTAAGAATATGCTAAACACTAATAGTGTAAAACAATACAGCAGCACAAACATGAGTCTGTGTGAGCTTGCATGAAATAAATCAGCAGCATGAGATCAGCAGCATGCATAATCAGCAGCACATATCAACAATCAAAATGGCGTTACAGTGATTTTTTTTTTTTCACAGTGATTATTCTGGTTAGAGGTTCATGAGTCTAACAGCTTCAGGGTAGAAGCTGTTCCTCAGTCTAGTGGTTCTGCAATTAATGCTCCTCAACCTTCTGCCTGAGGGGAGTGGGGCAAAAAGTGTGCGTGCTGGGTGAGTGGGGTCCTTCATGATGCAGGTGGCCCTCTTTCTACATCTGGAGGTGTAAATGTCTGTGATGGTGGGGAGGCTGACTCCAACTGTCTTCTGTGCAGCCTTCACCACTCTCTGCAAAGCTTTTCTTTCTGCATCTGTGCAGCCTCCATGCCACACGTTGATGCTGGAGCACAGGATGCTCTCCACTGCACACCTGTAGAAGGAGGTGAGGACTGAGCTTCCCAGACCAGCTCGTCTCAGCCGCCTGAGGAAGTAGAGTCTCTGATGAGCTTTCTTGATCAGGCTGGTGGTGTTGCTGTCATTCAGGTGCACACCCAAGTACTTGTAGCTGGAGACCACTTCCACCACAGATCCTCCTATATTGTGTGTGTGTGTGTGTGTGTGTGTGGGGGGGGGGGGGGGGGGGTCGCTCCGTCTGAAATCCATGACCATCTCCTTCATCTTCTTCACATTGATGTGAAGGTTGTTCTTCCTGCTCCAGCTCTCCAGATGTTCCACTTCCTACTACCTAGTACTAGTACCACCTCCTATAACAACATTGTACAGCATAATACTCGCCTTAACTACAGCTAAACTGACGATCAGTCTGTAGCTTGAAGCATCTGTTGCAATGGTCAGTTGCAGCCATTTTTCAGGAGTAGAAGATTCTGATTTCAACTAATTCAACGTGGAGGTTTTTGTGTATTTTAACTCACTCTGAACATCGAAACAAATTTAAATATACGAAAGTATTCATCGTTCCGCCGCTCTGCTGCTGCAACATTCAAATATTTATTGTTATTATTTATCTCGTGTCGACCTCCATATCCATACAGGTTCATGCCGGGTGTTTAGGAGTGCACAGATTCAGCTGCCTTGTTTTCCAATCTTCAGATAATCGGTAGGGAACCATGTACAGCTCGCCGAGCCCCAAGCAGGCCTGCGGGCCCGGGCTGACAGACATGCAGCAGTACCACCAGTGGCTCTCCAGTCGACACGAAGCCAGCCTGCTGCCCATGAAGGAAGACCTGGCCCTGTGGCTCTCCAACATCCTCGGTAAGACCCTTTATTGATTTAAAAAAAAAAGTGTTTTATGCTGTAAAAATCCCATCAGAATGAGTCTACAGTGAACACTTTTAGGAATCAATGAACCCCACTTAATAAAAGAATATAAACAGTCAACATGAGTCTAAATCTCTCAGTTTTGTTAGTGAAGCTTTAATTTTACTCGTTTGTCTAAAACACCAGTTTATAAGGCAAATCTCATCTTGTCTAACAATAATTTAAGTGGTAAGTGTTAGGTGTGAACAGCCTTCAGGAGTCTGAAATCAATCTGAACCTCATTACATCCCCCCCCCCCCCCCCATGCTTTTAAGTCAACAAACTGAGGAAGCTCCAGCCTTCAATAGATTACACTGAATGAATAATGAGCATCGTTAACCTTTCTTAAATAACGCAGAGCCACCGGTGGAGAACAAGTGGCGCGGGGAGCTCTCCGCAGTTCTCCAGTCTTCATAAAATGCATAAAACACTCAGATCATATTTTATTTTCAAATAAAAATGTTGGATTGAACGATTGCGTTTTGAAATGCCAGCCATTGTTTCACGTCTGAGACTTAACCAAAAAGTTCAATAAAAAAAAAAAAAACGGACCATTATGTGAAGTTATATTGTGGAAAATCCTCAAAATCTAAATGATGTTTAAGGGGTGCAGAAGTTTTCAGTGAGTGAACGTTGGTGTTGCTTGTGTAAAGTTTACGTGGGAACTGCAATGATTGTGTTCATCGACTGAGAGACGAACATCCTGCAGAGAACAAACAGCTTTAGTTACTGGAACAGACACGGTTCGTGTGACACTGTAAACAAGTGGAACGTCTCCCCCGTTCTCTCTGTTTGCACTGAGACCAGCTGAACCAGGAACCGCTGCGCCACTGCGCAGACGGATCGAGCCCCTTGAGACGCATCAACACTAAACACCACTCAGAGACGCTGTTAGTTCAGGTTCTTTGTGCAGCTTCAGCCCTAAGAGTCACGAGCGTTCATCACTGCTGCAGCCAAATGGAAAGGGCCATAAATGTTTTTGTTTGTCTGTTAGCAAAATATCTGATGAACCACTTGACAGATGTTAATGAAACATTCAGGCAGTGATGAATACATGTACATCCACAATTCTTTACTCTTTGGAAACAATCTCATTCAAAATGGCTGCCACAGCTAATCAATTTTTCCCAACACCAAAAAGGCTATAACTTAATAAAATTTACGCATAATGAACTAAGATATGGTATTGTAGTAGCTGAGAGTGATACCCAACAAATGCTGCAAGAGCTAACCTAACGTGGGAGATCTATTTTTAAATATTTACCATTTAACCTTTGGAATCAGCTCTGGCTGTCTGTTAGCAAAATATCCCATGAACCACTGAATAGACTTTAATGAAACTCTCAGGAAGTGATCTTTGACTGTACATCTACAACCGATTAATATTTGGAGACAACATAATTCAAGATGGCTGCCACAGCCAAGTGATTGTTGGAAACTCAAACCTTATTATAAGTCTGTTAATTGTACTGATATTGAGCTACAATTTAGCGCGGTGTTAGCTGAGTTTTATTTACAACACATACTTTAAGAACTACATGCTGTGTGATATCTTTTCCTAAAACTTTGACATTAACTGTTGACTACAAGCATGCCTGTCTGTTAGCAAAATATCTCAAGGGCTACTAGGCGAGTTTTAATGAAACTCTCTGAATGTATTCAATGGATATACATCTTTGGGGTAGTTTCAATTCAAACTGACTGCCGGAGCTGATCCGTTTTGGTGAACACATAAATGGCTAAAACCTTTTGAATTTTACAAATATGGAAGTAAAATTGTATGTGGTAGTAGCTGAGAGTAATTCACAACACATACCTGAGGGCTAACACTTTTTGCTTGATCTCGCGTGAGATTTCACATAATGTTGTTAACAAAGTTTGACAAGGAGTGGCCGACACGTCCCTTCTCTTCATGAGATGACATGAGTTTGAAACGGCCCTGGAAGCTGAACTCTTCCTTCCATTTAATACTGTAGCTCAGGTTTGTGGGTTAAAGAAACGGAGCAACTTAGAGTTGAGTTGAAATCTTTCTGATCCCTGTGGTTGTATATTTTCCTGACACTCTGAGGGACTATAGGGGGTGGGGGTGGGGGGGTTGAATATGAGACGGGAACTCACAGAGTAATTCTCATGATTTCAGTCGCTTTTTTCTGGGCTCAGTCATAACATTTGGAACTCATTAAGCATCAACCCCCCCCCCCCCCCCCCCCCCCCCCCCCCCCAACAAACACAAAAAACAACAACAAACAAAAAAAAACAGAACAGACCCAAATCACCCCACCAAAGCCATTCCCCAC